ACTGAAATCTTGGAAGAAAATGAGGACTATGAAACCAAAACTGATGAACTAACTCGTAAAAAAGGTGAACTAGAAGCGGAAATCACCAGTCTGACTACCGCTTGAAAAAACCGAGTAGGTGAAAAAGAACGAATTATCAGCCGAATTACCCAAGAAAAATCCGAGTTAGAAAAGAAACATAAAAACAAAGCCAAATTACTGGATGAAGAACAATGCGAAAATAATAAGTTGGTTGAAAAGATAACCAGTTTAGAAGCAAAGGAAAAAGAATTAAACCGAACTAACTTGGAAGAAAGCCAAACTGTGAATGAACTCTCTACTAAACTCCGAAACTGAGCCAAAAAAGAACAGCAATGAAATCAACAATTAAGGGCAATTAATCTCTTATTTGACCCTAATGCTCAAAATTACCAAACTATTGATTATAATGGTCTCTATACTCTCTTAAAGACTATTGCAGAGAGAGAGAGAGAGAGAGAGAGAGAGAGAGAGAGAGAGCAAAACCGGAAATAACCCCCATTTACAGCAGGCAACACAAGCAAAAGAAACAGAAGAAGAATTAGATAAATTAAGAGGAATGCCATCATCAACAGCACCAAATCAAAATGAAGTTCTTAGCAACTTTTTCCAAAATTTACTCTCTAAAAAACCAAATCTAGGTGAACCAAAGAAAGAAAAAGAACCAGAAGAACCGAAAATTCAAGAAATCACCACCGATTCAGAAAGCGAAGAGGAACTAGACAAGAAAAAAACAAAAAAAAAATAAATAAAACACTATGACCTTAGGAATCAAATCAGCCGTTAAAGACTGAATGTCAGAAAAATGAAATAAGTGGGTCAAAGACCCCATTGCTAACAAAACCCAACAATTAGAAAATCAAGTCCACCAACAAGTTAGTCCTCACCTCCATAAAGCCCAAGAGGCTGCTTATAAACCCGTGGACTATTATCGAAAACAAGAAGCCTTTTATCGAGGTTTATTCTGAATTGCCCTAGGTTGTTTAATTGTTTTGTGGATAATTAGTGGAAGTTAAAATTATAGATATAATGCCTCGTGTTTGATTTGAAAAAGGTTATAAATTTTACATTTACCTTAATGAAAGCCCTTATGAGCCTGCCCATATTCATGTCCTCAGCACCGAAGGAGAAATGAAAGTTTGATTAAATGATGATTTAGATATTGCTGAATGTTATGATATTCCTTCTCACGAATGAAGTAAAATTCTAAAAATTATTAAGAATAAACAAAAATTTTTTATAAGTAAATACCATGAACTCAATAAATAGAACTAGAAGAATTAAAGAAATTAATTTTAAACCAGATATTCCGCTAATTAAAACTATTGAAAAGCCACAACCTACTATTTTACAAGTGGAATGTGATAAAGAAACTATTACGGCTTATCTAAGTGATAGTCGAGTAATTAGTATTCCAACTGGTTGATACAAAATATTAAGGGAAGCCACAGTTAGGCAATTAAGAAATGTGAAAATTATGCCGGCTAAACGAGGTATTTATTGACCGGACTTAGAAGAATTTTTAAGTGTTAAGGCATTTACACATGGTTTAAATGCTGGTTGTTAGTT